AATTAAGTTTTAATATATTTACAGTAGGAAATTTACTAAATATCTTCATGGAACATGATCTTTACTTAATATCCTAATGATTTTTGGCATAAAAGAAAAATCTATAATTTTGACCCATATAATGTATTTTTGGCTATTGCTACAAATATACCCCAGCGACTTAAGACTGCTTTTGTGCTCCAGGGTCACATATTTGGTGTGAAGAAAAACAATTAATAAAATTCACAGTGAATTCTCACCACTAATTAAATAAATAATGCTTTTATCGCTGATTTTCACTCCTAGTGTTGAATCTGCTTTACCTGCGTATCTCAGCATCAGTGAAACCCTTAATGTTCTCTCTTGGAATAGTTCGAGGTCTTCCTCGTTTCTTGGGCCTCTTTCTGTCGGAGACAGAGTCGCTGTCTGAACCAGAGTATCGTCTGTTCCGGCTACGCCTGCCCTCATTTCCATTAAAGTTGTTCTGTCATCACAAATTTAAAAAAGGACATGAAAACAGTACAAAGAACTAGGGGTGTATGTTAGTGTTTTATGGACCAGCATAACATTCATTCATTAACCCTATTCATTTTATAGAATGAATATAGTTCATGATGTAACCCAAGCATTTGACATTACTGGCACTGTTAATCACTGTATGACTGGCTAACCTGTTTAGCACACTTCCTCATGCGGGGCAGTAAATAGATCTCTGCTAGCTCTTTTTGTCGCTCCTCTTCCTCGAGTCAATACGCAGACAGACACATCAATGACAGAGGCCAAAGTGCAACCATTACCATATAAAGCTATGAAAAACAGCTACCTACCTTTCTAAAGGGCCACCAAACTTTTTATAACTTTTGATAAACCTGTGTGAAAAAAAAAGAGAGTTTTATAGTAAACAGTATTCATTAAAAAAAAAAAAGCAATTTCACATTAAAGAATAATGTTGAATGATTGGATTAATACATATTAATATTAATTAGAATATATATATATATATATATATATATATCTCAATAAAAACTGTTTCCA